TTAGGGAGGACTGTCGATACTCTTTTTGCTAAGAGTGTAGAGTGCAGGTCACATGGATGTATACCCGACAAAACGCCCTCTGCTTTTCAAAACGGATCAAGCAAATACGTTATAATGTGTCTCATACTCCAGGATTTAATGTTCGGGAATGCGTCTAACGTCCTCGTCAATCGCAAAACAATAAAATAAAATATGTTTTTTTTTAACACTTTAAATATAGTTTACGCACTTCAGAACGCTAAATCTTCACCGTCCGTGCTAAAAAAAAAATAAAAAAAAATTGAGGAGTAAGTTAAGAAGACACTTTTGGCTTCTGCGCTTCCTCCGGAAGCGGTTCACGTGAGACTCCGCTCGAACACACCGAGATGCGGGTGGCGGTTTCTCGGTGATCACGCGTGACCTTTTTAGTCTTGCGTTTGGCACCCTTGTATTACAATCCAAAATCTAGTTTAATCTACGATCCAAAGCCAAAAGTTTGCTATTTTGTTACTGAAAGTTTTTTTCTTATGTCCGCACGCATCACGAGTTCAGGCAGCGGAAAAGAAAAAAAAAGACGAACTTTCAAAATCAGTTCGTAGTTTTTTTTTTACTTTGTACGCAAGCAAACCCCAGCTATATGCGTCTTGCTGGCGCAAAGGAGAATATCCCCGACCCTTTCTTCGAAGTGGACACTTTTCGCATGAATAGCTGACCTTGTTTTCTCGATAGAAGGTCAGTTTTCGCACCGCACTGTTCGCTGTTATTATTTTCGTAGTAGTGAGCAGCCTCTCTCTTGGACCGTGGTGCGGGGAATGTGCTCGGTGCTAACCCGTCACGGCTAACCCGTTGGCAACGGACATCTCCTCTCCCCACTCACACGTCGGTCGAGTCTGCTGTTTGTTTAACGTTGAGCTGAAGGAAACGCTGTTTGGATTACCTATGCCTTGTCTGGTACTTACAGTGTAATTTTTGAATAGGTTTCCTTGGTTCCTTTTGGTAGTAGAAATGAGGTCGAGCTAGAGCAGGCACCCTACTGGTTCCGCGGTGGGGTTAACTAGGCAATTAGGCTCACGACGTCTCCATCAGCCTTCTTGTTGGTCATGCACGGTGTCAAAAGCTTTCTGTAGTTCATGGTACTGCTTTAGTCTGTACAAAAGCTGTCATTTCGGTCGATCGGGGGCGGCTTTCGATGTTCTATGGGCAAAGAGGCAAGGCAGAGCAGCGACGAGCTCTGCCACTCCCTTAATAAACAAACCTTACCCGAACCTAACCACCGGAGCGAAGCCCGATTACGAGTCAATTATTTTCGCAGCGAATTCAAGTCGTGGACGTGAACATCACGTTTCTTCGTTTATTTGTCTGCTGCAGCGCTAGGACCTCAGTGCCTTAGACGCCTGACCAGCGACCGATGCCATCGTGTTTCGAAAGCCACCGACGTCACGTCAGCGTCGCGCTGCGATTGGTTGGGGCCTAAAGGTTCGCGAAAGCGGTTGGGAAAAATCAGTCCCAAAGCGGTTGGCGAAAATGCACCCCAACCGCTCGATTCCAGCCGCATTGCGTTTGAGAACGGGCCACCCATCCTCTTTCTTCCCCCATAGACAAGCGATGTGACCTCTATGAAAACGAGCCGATCAGAGCGACAAAATTGCACTGCATGTTGACTTACTGCACAACATTTTACAGCGAGGCTGTGTTTATGGCTGTTCCGTGATTTTTCGTGTGCGTCAACTAGAGTTCCTGTCTATAGCTACCTACGGTAGCAGAGTTGCGCATTTAGCCTCGGAGGGTGGCCGTAGCGCCGGCTTTCCTGCACGCGCTGGATGCTTTGCTCGTCACTTGACTAAACTTGGCGAAAAGCGGCGCCGCGCACGCCCCCGCGCGCGCCGCCGTGCATGGAAAACAGAAAAATAGGAGGAGAAAGCAGGGGAACTTACGCCGGGGCGCGAGCAACGTCGGCGGAGCGACCATAAAGGTGGCTTTCTTGCACGGCGCTGGATACTTTTCTCCTCAGGGGATGGATCCAGACTTGTACGTAGTTTAACTACGCTACTCAAGTTACTGTAGTTTAACTACTTTTCTGAGTAGTTTAGTAACTTCCAATTACATTTCTATTTCGGTAATTAGTAGTTTACTTCAATTACTTTTTTTAGTAACTTCTAATCAAATTACAAATTACTTTCGAATTTTAGTGGTTGTTTCGACTATCAACAAACATTCCTGCACAAAAGAGATAAGATGTTGGAAGATCAGCTGATATTTCCAAAGAGGGAGAGGCATATGGCGGTGGAAAGGGGGGGGGGGGGAGGAAAATGATTTGGACAGTCCGAAACTCCCCGAAATTTTCACAACATTGCTACAAGCCGCGGGGAGCGAACAGACACGACGCAAGAGAGGCCGAGTAACTGCGGGATTAGCGCCGAAGACTGGCGTTTCTTTGTGTCCCGATGCTCAAGGAGACTTGACCCATTCGAAGAAAGGGCTAGTCCCCGGTTTTCCCCAACGTAGAAACTCTCGCTCACTACAGGAGCTGCACACACTGAATCCTCACTCAAAGGAGGCAAAAAAATGCAGCAGCACCTCTGAGGCTCATCCTGTGCTCCCGTAGTTTGTGCTGTATTCGAAGAATCGCGTGCTGAAGGGCAACGCAAAGGGGTCCTTTTTGCGTTGCCTTTCCTCCCAAAACCAGAATATGCTGATCTTCAAAGATTCGAAGACCGTTCGAGAAACCTTAATAATTCCCCCAAATTTTTTTTTAATAAAAATAATAAAGAAGCAGTGTTGGGAAGTACCTTAGCACGTGATACATAAAGCACTCCAGTTTAGAAAACTTGTACGTTACTTGAAGTACATTCTCTGAGCATGCACTTGTACTTTCCGAAGAAAGTAAAACTCCCGACTTCAATGTACATTCCCCGAATTCGAAAACTAGAAGTGGCGTATCGTCGTGTGAAAACGCGCTCTTTCAAGATGTCATCTGGTTATTTCGCTGAGTGAAAAAATGGCGGCTATAAGACAGACACAAATAAGTGCCTTATAAGTTGATCGTGTCAAATAGCTCGTCAGCGAGAGTAAAACAACTACTCTGTGGCGACTTTATACAATATTTGCTAACATTTCTGTAAAAAATTGATGCAACTCCGATTACCCCTGGAGCAATGCATAACAGTCAAAAAATACTGTATAGGGATTGAAAGGGCGTCATGAAAGATCGTGTTAAAAGCACTTGTACTTTACCTTGAAATATATTGTACTTATAGTACGTTAGTTCAAGTACATTGCACCCGGTGTACATACTACTTTACTTGAAGTACATTAGCTCTCATTTACTTTGCACTTTACTTCAAGTACTTTTTTATATATACTTTGCGCAACACCGTAAACAAGCAAACACTGTCTGAAATATCAAGCTCAGGCAGTGCTAAACCTCAAAGTAGAAATGACACATTTGCAGTACATTATTGGCCAAACATACAAAAAAGTACAAAACAATTTGGCACGCTGAAGCAGAACGAGCTATAAAAGCACTTCTGTGAAAATAACAAGCCGATTCATATTTGGCTAGCACAACTTCGCTAACGCATCAAAACCTATGTACTTTCTTTTTACCATAAAAAAAAAACATATAAAAGTAACTTCAAAAGTAACTTCGAAAGTAATTCGCTACTTTTTACGGAAGTTAGTAATTGACTCAATTACTTTCTATTTGAGTAATTTCTACTCTACTCAAATTACTTTTGAGGTAAATACTCAGTAACTTAACTTAATTACTGTTTTTGAGTAACTTGTACATGTCTGGATGGATCTCGGCGAAGAGCGGCTTGGCGGCGCGGGGAAAACAAATGCGCAACTCTGCTCCCCCTTCGGGGGAGCATATCGAGGAACTCTAGCGTCAGCAAAACTCGCGCGCCCTCTCTTTGTCGTCGTTCGAAGCGCTTGCGTAGCAAGTTTCCTTTCGCTCTCCTGAAGAGGCGGTGCCGTCGCGCGTGTCTACTTTCCGCCGGGTGGGAGTCCCGTCGCGCTTGTCTAGTTTCCTCTGGCTCCTCGGCACGGCGATAGTTCGTACCTTTGTTCAAAATTTTGTGTTACGCCTGTGTCGTGTACTAAACAACTTCGCTGGTCATCCACCTTCAAAGAGTGGAATGGTTCATGATTTTTAAATACAAAGACTTGTGGACCAGATGCCGAATGTTAGAGCCTGCCGTTATCTGGTTGTAAAGTCGTAACCAATTTTTTGAACTATTTAATGAAACAGTAGAGCCCGTTTCGAGTATTGGGCGTCATTCATCTCCACGCGTTCGTGGGCCTTGTCAACACGTATCTCCTCTTTGAAAATTGTATAACTTCGTCTATAAATATTTAACAACATAGCGATAAGCTTTGAATGTTTGATATCTTGTCCGAACCGCTAGAGGTACACATCACGACACTGCTAGCACGAACATGACATCGGCGCATTTCCACCTTTTACTTCTAAATAGTATTAGCGAGCACGAAATTTTATCGCCTACATTATAGAACTGAATGAGCTCTTTCCCTAACTACAATAACTTGGACGACATCCCTTGGTTTCAAAAAGAAAAACTGAAAAAAACCGGCGATCGCTTGTTCGCACTAACAGTGTCGCGCTCTGTACATTTGCGTCTTTCCAGTCCGAGCGCTCAGTAATGCGTAATTTACTACTGCAATGTATATATTTTTTTTTTTGCAAAGTTGAGGTAAAAGTGATTACCTGTTCGAGCGCTTACAAACACGAGTAGTTGAGTGCGACCCCAGAAAGAGGTTTCAGTTCCGAAGCCAATGAAAATCGCATAATTAGGATCGGACACCTCCAGGCCCTCGTAATTAGATATGTGCTCTCTGGAAAGATATCAATGATTTAGTATAATATATATATATATATATATATATATATATATATATATATATAAGCGGGCTCTCTGCGAAAGGGGGAATGGTGGATATGAAAATGTGGGACAATGAAAATGATATTTATATATATATATCTTTACTTTGTGGTGCAGATACTTCGCTTCATGATGCGCAAGTTGGCTGCCTACAACGCCACCGCAGTGCCACCTCGTATTGTGGCCGAGGATCCCAGGGGGTATCCCGAGTATCACGGCGGCGTCTGGTCTCCCTGGCTAGACTGAAGAATACTACAGAAAAGGGGGCGAAATATAGCAGGCTTCGGGTACTGAACGGGCGTCATTCTCGCTCTTCGGCATCTATTTTCTTTTTTTAGAGTGCACTTTTTGGTGAAGTGCGTGGGGAGAAATTTGGACAAACAATCCTCAAATAAGTCAATAAGTCAAATAGATCAATGAAGCAGGATGAGGCTTACCTCTTCGACACTTACCTCCATACGCCTGCGGATTACACCCTCAGACACAATCATTTCGTAAAACCAGAAGTTTGGAAAAACTATGAAACTCAGGAACTTAATTACTGATTACCTGACCTTGTAAATAACCACCTCGATCTAGTTTAAATAGCACGCCAAAGTCGAACAATGACATAAACTCTCAATTTGTTCCGCGAGTGCTAATGCCACCTACCAGTGACTAGCATATTTCAAAGGATTTTTATGGTGAATTCGTTATTTGAAGTAATGAGTTCACTGACAATTAGATTGCTGAAAAAAGCACAAACGCCTCATGTATTTTTCTATATCTAGTTTTTTTCTTTTTGTTTTCCGAATATTACGGAAGTGGAGTATTTTAGATCAAAGCGTCTCGATGACGTTGTACGATAATGAATATGATGTCAATGATGTTGATGTGAATGATTTTCATATGAGACGTCTCATGACGTCCATGTTAGTTATTGTGATGACGATGCTTGATTAATGTGAAGTTAATTATTTTGCATATTTGTTTTTGATGTTAAGGACTTAAATGTGGGTTAAGTGAGATGATGATAAATGAAATCGTGGAGCTTCGCTTTTCGAATTTACTTTTATCTGTAGACCTTTCCAGAGGCAGTTTCGAACGAAGCGATTTACAGCGAGCGTACCAGGTTTTGAGAGTGTACGTCAGTGTGGCCTGACCGCGCCGTGATGTGGGTTTTTTCGTAAGTGGGCTGTGGCAGCCTAAGATGCTGTAATTCCGGACGCAAATAGCACCACTCTGGCCGCGTTATTATATTTTTTTTTTCGGTGTGTGTGTTTTATGGCAAACAGATTTTCGAGGGGTTTAAAAAAAAACAAAAAAACATTGCACTATTTTTGAGAACAAAGACAAACAAATAAAGTCTATTTTTGATGAGTTCGTGCGCGACAAAACAAATGCAACTGAAATTTTTGTTTCATTACATTTTGATTCTTTGTCTGCACCATACACTCAGCAGTGTCAATATAGAAAGGTCCTAACTGTCCAAAATATTTGACCACACAAGATAGCTGAACCGCATGGGTATTCCCCGCTCACAACATGAATGTCAATGAGTCCCAACAATCGCAGAAAAATATATTTTACGTACCCCAGGGCGCCGTGTTATCCGCACAGGATTTGAGAAAGGTGTCAAAAAAAAGCATAACCAAATACACACTGTCGACGCTATCATTTCACGACAATCGGACGGAATTTTTTTTTTTTTTTCGGCACGTTTTGAAGAGGGATGCTTTTTTGTGCAGTACCAAAACGATTGAACTAGCGTGTCTATTCACCATACCTTAGACCCGACCCTCTCAGCTATTTTTCGCGAACACCGGGCACATAGCCGGGAACAATGATCTCAATGACAATTGCTGGATCGCGCTTCCCGCTCCCGCAAGTGAAGCCACCGGACGCAACCTTGCTGGGATACGATTTGCGGTTTTTCTAGCCTTTTGCGGCGGTTTTCCAGCGTGCAGTAGACACGTTTTCTACTCGTTCGTCGTCATTCGCCGAAGAAGTTTTTTAACACTGTGTACCGTTAAGACCTGCCGTTGTGAACACGTGGAAAAGTTTGCGAAAGCGCAGTGTCGCAGGAAAAAGGCACAACTCGTCGAAAGCAAGTTTCGCCGATCTGGCAGCGTGTTCAAGGATTCCTTTACACGCCGAAGTGCCGGGTCTCTGTGCCTTCGCACGCTTGGATACCGACCAAGAATCGACGCCGTGCGGATGTGTTTTGCGAGTGCAATGTGCGTGAAGCCGTACGTATCTAAAGGTACAACTCGTCGAAAGCAAGTTTCGCCGGTCTCGAGGCGTGATCAAAGCTTCCTTGGCACGCCGACTGCTGCATCTTTGTGCCTTCGCACGCTTGGATACCGACCAAGAATCGACACCGCATCAAAGTTCTGAACCTGTGTCGTGCGTAGATACCTGTAAATATATATATATATGTATATATACATATACAGGTGAGGCAGACTAGTTTCAGAACAACGGACCGGGAAAATGTAATAAGTTAGAGATCCGTACTTGCGGAGTTGCTATGCTATACTTCGCCTCACCGTACGATGGACTAAAGGCAAAAGCTACGGACTGCCAGATCCAATCACAAGCCACTTAGAAATTGTGCGATATTTCGCTTCGATGCACGTACTGGTACACGCGTCTCGGATCACTGATGAGGGGACGGCTGGATAGTGGTTCGAATCGAAAAGCACTGAGTGACTCAACAATTATAAATCGCAAAGAAAGCCACGAGATATAGGCTCGTTGCAGCGTCAAAGCTACAGAAATGATGCGGCGGGTTTGGATTCGAGGATTATTCTTCTACCCCTAATCAATGATAAGCGTGTCATAGTATAGCGTGGAACGTGATTGGACCTGGCGGCCCGTGGCTTTGGCCTTTAGTCCATCGTAGGATGAGACAAAGTATAGGAATTTATTGTATGTATTACGACAGTTTCGCCCAAGAGGCTCATACATATATATATATATATATATATATATATATATATATATATATATATATATCAGAGATGGCAGTAATGACATTACTCTAATAAAATTACAGTAATTAAATTACTTTTTGGAGTAATGTGTAATGTAATGAATAACTTTCAGGCAATGGTTTCGAGGAAATTACGCATTACTTTTGGAATTACTTTTGTCCTAAATTAGAAAATTCGTTTGCAAGCTTTAAGAAAGAAGAGAAAAATTACTTTGCAAGGTGAAATGTTGCGAAATAGCATCAGAGGAAATAATCGACGGCCACCTGAGCGCAAAGCCTTGTACGAAGAGCTGCACAGACACACAAAGGAGGACTGGAAAGGCGAAGGAGAAAAGCTTGTGCGTAGACATCGCTGGAAGGCAACGGCTTGCAAACTCCAGACACGACAGATTCACGGCGTCGCGTCATCAGGACAAAACTATACTTTGTTCATCCCTAAGCTGACAGTGCTGTGGAAGCTGCAAGCTAACCAGAACCAATCGAACACCTTTTAATCACGTGTCCCGTTCCTTTCTCTGCGTCTGGGTATGAACGAGAGCGTGGTTACGTGGCGAACGATAGACGTGTGACTGCTCCAACAAAAACGTAGCTTCTACCGTTCATCCCTACGCTGACAGTGCTTCAGCTTAGGGAAGAACGGCTCATAGGCGACGGGCACATCATCAGTGAGTTAAACATAATTTAAAACCTGAGAGGACAGGACAGACAGATGCCCAGCCATGTACTTTCGTCAAGCAAGGTCAAACCGCAAGCTTCGACCATTGTGAACAATAAACGACCGGAATAAATAGTTAATTCCAAATGCCTTGTCAAAGACCCGAACGTTATGTGTGTCCTCGAGCAATGCAGGTGCTGCTCGCGACGTGCCTCACTGCCTTACCTTGGGAAGTTTATTCAGAAATAAGCCTACAAGCAGATATTGCCCCCCGTTTGTTGGGAAAATCGACAATTTAGGAAGCTCGCGCCATTCCTCAATTGGCGACGCTTCTGCTTAGTGATTATCCGGGCCGTTTGTGTGACAATGCACAAGAACTTGAACTCTTCGGGTGTTTCGGAAGGAATGACCGGGAATAGGTCAACTATACTCGGCGACAACTTTTCTTGGCAATGCAGTGGAGGGTTCAGGCACGCTTTCCGTCTCCCCTTTTGAGCGCTGAATAAAGCTGTGCGCTGGTTCTCCTCCTCTCCACTGCATTGCCAAGAAAAGTTATCGCCAAGTATAGTGTTCTCGGGAGAATAGATTTAGATTGCGTCCGAGGCGAAAGGGAAACGTTTCACGTGACGACTCCTTGTAGGAACGAGCTGCCATTGCCCGACTTAACAAACTGACACGGACTACAATTTCTCAATCAGGAAGACGGAAGCATATCAAGCGTCGTTCACACTCTTGCTACCGAGTTAGACCGAGAGAGACCAGACCGGTTTTTAAGCCTTTTGCGATTTCTTAGGACCGGACGCACTGCAGCGCGGAGCTGGTCCTAAGAGATCGCAAGAGGCTTAGAAACCGCTCTGGTCCACTGATATCTACTATAGGGGGCTAGATGGCGCTTAGCTGCTCTCGGAGCCCTGCGCATGTGAAGCCACCGGAAATTCGGTGCTTGTCCCGGAAGTCGGGCGTGCGCTGGGCTTCCCAGTGCATTCAGTCGATATTTTGGACCATGCTTTTTTGTGTCTTTGATTGGGTTTTAACACTCCCATTCTGGATTAAATCCCGAGAATGAGGCATTTGAACTTGGGACATATTCACAATTTGATCAACTAGAATCTCAAAATGTTTACATTGCATGGCTTCCCATGACACTTCTCAGGTCCGCATGCGCTCTTACAGCGCAACAAGCAGGCTCTCTTGAAGGAACAAGCGAAAACCCAGCGCCCTCGACACTTTTCGAACCAGCACTTGAAAGGGTTACAAAGCCTGCCAAGCGCTCACTTCCGGGACAAGCCGCTCACTTCCGGTGGCTTCATACGTGTTCGCTCAATGCGCTATCCAGCCCCCTCCAGTGGAGATCAGTGGTCTGGTCTCTTTCGGTCTTACTCGGTCGCAAGAGTGTGAACGGGCCTTCACTCTTTTAGAGAGAACCTTCACCGTAGAATGAAGAGCGAAACCGGTGAGTTTACTGTCTTTCCGAGTCACATCTAAAGAATCTATTCATCATGTTTAACACTAATGTCCTGTGCACCAGCAAAACCACTGTTCAGCATGGTTCACTTTGGGGCACATAAGGTTGTTGCGCTGTAAACAGGGAGCACTCAGCCTTGTACACGTTACTAAAAAAAAGTAATCGATTACAATTACTATTACTCTTGGCTAAAAAGTATTCGATTAGATTACTTGATTACTCGACGGCAAAAGTAATTGGACATTACTTAAAGAAGTAATCGTTACTTTTCCGATTACTTTATTGTGTGAAGACAATCTTTAGCGCTCATAACAATGAACTATTTCCAACCTATATTTCACATTTGCACAAGTATTGAAGAAGAAAAACTGGCTCCCTCTTCGTGGTCGTTGCACCTTCACAATGCGGACACAAGCATAGAAATCGATTGAAGACGTTTAATGATTTGGGCGTTCGCCAGTGTGTGTGTGTGTGGGGGGGGGGGGGGGGGGGAGGGGGGGGAAACGGAGGGGGTTCTAGATCTTGTTAAGCTTGAGCAACGGTTGTCGCTCAAAGTTTGCGTCGCTCATTTTATTCACATGTGGATGAGCTCGCATGTTATACAAAAGAGCAGCAGCTCCAGGATTGTAAACGGATCATGTGTAGTATCCATTAGCGGAAGAGGTCGCCCCGACCACTTCTCAACTCGAAACATTGCTTGTCAGAAAGGCCAAGTGGGGGAAATGGGGAAATATTTCAAATGCCTTTGTTATATTTTACATCCGCTTTAGGCATTCTTCGGTTCTGGTTCTCCTACGGGCTGCGAGTAGGTACCCTAAGCAGGATTTTTTTTTATTTTTTATTTCTGTGTGTGTGCGTGAAGGGGCTAGTTTGAACGAAGGACTCACAAAGCCACATTCTGCTTCCTCAAACTTCGCCCTGAATGGCCTTTGTCACGCACTGTGGCCTCCCTGGGGCATCCCACAACCAGTCCAAGCTCGGAAAAAACAAAAACAAAAAAAACGGACTTTCCACAGAAACTGTACATTGAAAGAGATTTACCTCGTTTGCTACAGCTCCGCAAAAATCTTTCTTTTTTCCGTTCGAAAAAAAAAAAAAAAAGCTAATTTTATTTTTGTCATTTCATAAAAAAAAGCGTGTGCCGGAGGGGGGGGGGGGGGGGGCGTGGACAAATTGTAACGGTTACAAGTCATTTTATTACTTCAAAAAGTAATCAGATTACTCTTGTGATTACTGCCTAATAAAAGTAATCAACTGATTCCAAAATTACTCCGAAAAGTAATCGATTACAAGGGGGAATTTTGTCTAGATGAATATTGGCGCCGATTTTGGACTTTTCCCCATTGTCAAAAGTCGCGACTTTGATAGCAAAATATACTTTACCCACAATTAATGTAATTTTACATGGATTTTCTACATTAGCTAGAATGTTTTCATTGATTTCAGGCTATATTTTATTACTTAATAATTAAAAATGCTACAATTGGCACCAGTGACGATTATTAGCACACTTTTGATTGTCATATGTGTTCGCGCGTTTGAAATTAGATCATAAGCAACAATTACAGCTTGAAAAATTACGTATTAAAATATCTTAAGTTTAATAATATTATTAATACAAATCACGGCAATATATGCCAAGATTACAAAAAAACGCCATTTAACCATAATAGTCTTTGCGGAAAGGTATATTTCTTTTAGCATATGAAAATACTCTGACATCGTTATCAAGATAGACAAACAGTCAAACACCGGGTGGAATATAAAGTCATATGCGTAACGCGTTGCTATAAAAACGCACACACACATTTCAGCTATCTGACATGGATTCGATCTTTGGGTTGTTGCAGTGAGGAGAGCGTTTGTTACTTTATACGTTTTGTGGACATATTGTAAAAATTTGAATTATTCTCTTATTCTTGTGCTGAGAATAATGTTAAACCAATTAATCATCTAGATACCCAAAAAAACAATTAAATGGCCCGCAGTTCATAATTTACCATGACAATTATCTGAGCGAGAAAAGGCAGCGAGAACGCGCAAATATATGCACTGATGCTTCCAACAACTACAAATATCAGCCTGTATCGAACATGTATGTCACAAAATAAAGTTTTCGCGAACAACGTCTCTAACCAAGTAATTACGATGTGAGACACATCTGGAGTTATGAAAGAATCCGAAATTAAGACCTATATCGAGAAATTAAATCCAAAATAGAGGTTAGTTTCCGTGTAGCTCTAGAATTAAAATGCGCATCCTTGCGTAAATATTGCACGAAACGCCGTTCTTGTTTTCAGGGTAAAAAGGTGACCTGCGCTCATAACACCCTAGCCTCCTCGTATTGCCAGAAATAATTTGTGTCGCTCAGTGAAGCCAACACACTAGACAGGCTCAACAGTGGCACGCATCTCCGACCCTCACTATAACCGCCATCTTGGAAAATGAGTGGCGCCGGAACGGTATATACCTTCCAAGTGTGTGATTCGTATTCTGCCAGTGGTACCTCAGCTAGATTAAATATCAGAATCCACGTTCAAAAAAAAAAAAAAAGTTTACGGTGACTTGATTCGCATCCGCGCCGAATCACGTTTCACGTAAGCGTAATCTTGGGTTCGATGCACGACGAGGGGTCTTCAATTATAAAAATATTTTGATTACGATTATTTGCAGTACTAAAAATTTGAAAGTCAAGCAGTGAAGACAATGGTATTCTTATAAATATTATATACATTTTATTTTACACTGTTTGAATACGCTGCCGTCGTTATGTCCTTCAATTATTGGCTAGCTTGTGGCGGACAGGAAGGTCTTGCAGGACCATATCATAGGACTATGCATAGGACCTACACTAAACCTGCCGCGCTTCGAAAAATGCTAGTCCAATGCATAAAAGCTTGTTCAAGGCGGACGGAGCGTTGCGCATCCGCCAAAGCGCATTCGGTCGCTGCCCCCGGTGTTTTTTTAATTTTTTTTCTTCTTATTTATCGAGCAGGGAAATAATTTTTAGTCAGGCAGCAGGCCCCCTTTTCGGCGGGCTAAGCCGGATTAACGGAGGCGTCTCCTAATCCATTCTCCGTGTTGGCTCCTCGGGGGAGGGCGGTAAACAGGTGGCGGAGAGCGGCGAAGGAAGGAAAGGAGGGCAGGAGAGGAGGAAACGTGAAAAAGTGGAAAGCGCGAACTGTACGGTGGCCTCGGCTTAGGCCCCGCCAACGCTCGCATAAGGGCGAACATGGGTGGTTACGTCCTTCCCCCCGCGGTGCTCGGGGCCGGAGAACTCCAAAAAAACGCGGCGGTGGCGCCCTCTACTAGCATCCACAGAAAGAGCAACATCTTTGGCGGGCATGTTTTGAGAAACCTGGTTCTTTGCATAAAAACAAACGGAAATAAACTCTTTTTGTAGGAACCTTTATTGGAGATTGGTACAAAATGGCAGGCACGGGATGGCTTTTAAAAAATTTGTTTACAAGCTTTTGCGGCATAATTACTATTGTTTTTATACAACCTCGACTCACCGGAGATTTGAGGTAGCGCGTCCGGAGTAGGGTGCGTGCTGACTTCTGCGTGCATTCGCGGTACGTCCGCAGGGGAGACGAGGGTTGACTTACCTGGTGCCGGGGCTACCTTGATCACCTCGATCAGCTACCTGGTGCTGGGACTACCCTGATCACTAAGATCAAGTGTGATACTTACCTGGTGCCGGGGCTACCCTACCTTGGTCATTACTGGTGCTGGGACTACGTCGGGGCTTCTGTGATCAACGCCGCGGGAACGCCATCTTGCCCTCGCAACGAGGAAGGAGCGCCGCGGGAACGCCATCTTGTCCCCGCCACGAGGAAGGAGTGCCGCGGGAACACCATCTTGCCCCCGCCACGAAAGAGGAACGCCGCGGGAACGCCATCTTGCCCCCGCAACGAAGAAGGAGCGCCGCGGGAACGCCATCTTGCCCCGCCGGGAAACGACCACGTGGAGCCGCCATTTGACCGCAAGAGCGGCTCTCTTGCTCCTATGATCGAATCACGACCCAGTGACCGACCCCGAAGCCCAGCGATGACTCACGTCACGTCGGGAAGTGGCAGGCCACCGGATGGTGGCACACCGTCGAACTTCCAGCCCACAAAGATGCTCACCTTCAACGTCACAGCCCCCGTCCAGGCTTCGACAGTCGACGTCACCGACGCCGTTGCCGACGTTGTCGGCCTTAACCAAGTTTATATGGTGCAACACCTTGGAGGCAACCGTTTCCAGGTCATCCTGTACAACTCTGTCGCCCTGGAGCAGCTCAATGCCCACGGTGACCTGTCCATTTGCGGCCAGCAAGTCGCCACCGAACCCCTGATGCCACGAGTCACCCGCGTTGCCTGCCTTCACCTGCCAGGGTACGTGCCAGACGAATACCTTGTCCGAGCCCTGTCCCCATACGGCAAGCTAGTGAAGCTAGAAAGACCGACCATAACAGATCGACCGACCGTATGCAACGACATTCGGGTCGGTTCCCGGACATTTCATCGAACGCCGTTTCGTCGAACGTCGTTTCATCGAAAAAATTGACGTTTCATCGAACGCCGTTTCATCGAACGCCATTTTATCGAATCGCTGACGGCTGTTTCATCGAATGTCTTTTATATAAAAAGTGTGAAAGATGCTCTTTTATGCACGGATCGAGTGCATTTTAGTGTCATTCACCCATTTCATCGTCAGGTTTTTTAATGTACAAACTTGTAGCTGTTACAATTTATTTTGATGCAAGTAACCCATGAGGATATTTGTTTCGATTTTTACGTTTGTTTCGCATATTGTGCTTATCTGTTCACCCCCTCTGTATTACCCGATGGGCCTTGAGGGTATTGTAACAATTAAATAAAAAGTCGCACTGCCGGTAAGGGCGCACTCCAACTCGCGGAGGCCAAAAGGCGACTTAGGTTTTGCGCAGGCGCAACAACTTTAGCCCTGTGAGCTAAGGCCCTTACTGTGAGCCTTCTACCCTGTCATGTCTTTCTATTGATACTTTTTTACTGCCCGAAGCTTGCGTTAACTAAAGCTGAAGTGCTATTTATGAAACTACAACAAAACATTGTTTTTTTTTTGTTTTTTTGTTTTTTTTTTACTTCTAAGACTCAATGAAGTCAAAAGTAAGTACGTCACTTCAAATTTTATTTGAAAACTTTCGGGGGTTTATGTGTTCGTGCGACAGCCATTCACCGTTTAAGATGATGAGCAATTGCTCTCAAAAAGTCCCCCCCAGCCATGCTCCGTCGGTTCTCATAAAAAAGGCGGACCTTCTCATGCTATGGCCTTCTTCTGGCGAGGAGGCTCTTGGGAACTCAACATGGCCTCCAGCTTGCCTTCTGTCAGTTGATGTTCTGCGGCGATGCAAGTCAAAAACTTCCAGAACCCGGGATGGGCACCTCCGACCAGCTTCAGGAAGCGGGAATGCCACCCTGGCGTTCGATAAAACGGCGTTCGATAAAACGGCGTTCGATGAAACGGCTTCGATGAAACGGTGTTCGATGAAACGGCGTTCGATGAAACGGCTTCGATGAAACGGCGTTCGATGAAACGGCGTTCGACGAAATGTCCGGTCCCAATTCGGGTCGCCCACCTTGAAATGCGCTCGGACAAACCCGTCCCAAATTTCATCCGCATCCTAGAACACAGAGTCACGTGCGATTACCCAGGCATCAGCCGAGTGTGCAGTCGCTGCAAACAGCCGGGGCACTTCAGGCGTTCCTGCGAAGTCCCCTATTGCCCTCGATGTTCCAGCTTCGGCCACGCCGCCGACACGTGCACAGCCCGCTGCCGCCGCTGTGCCGGCAGCCACGCCACGACCGATTGCGTTCGCAAGAAATCATTCGCCGAGGCAGTGGACGCAAGGTCACAGCGACCCGACCAGCACGTCCAAGCAACGCCTTCCGCCGAGATGCCGGAAGTAGGGCCAAAGCAACCCGACCAGCCGGAAGCAAGGCCAAACCAACCCGACCAGCAAGCCCAAGCAATGTCGGTAAGCTGGGCAAACCAAGAGAATTTCCCAACTCTGGAAAAAGAGCCGAAGACGCTGGTTTTGCCACCTGTGCAGACACTGGCTCCGCCACTCGAAGAGATGCCCCCGGCGCCCACCCACAAGACCTCCTCAGGGGACGAGGTCAACTCCAACACCACGACACCGACATGGACACCAGCCAGCCCCACGTCCTCCGACGCATCGAACGAGCCCCTCGTGATCGATGAAGACAACTTGGAGAAAGAGGAGGTTCGAAACCAGGGGTCCCCGCCGAACAGCGACACGGATAGCCAAGACCCTCAACAAAGCAAGGACTCTCAATCGAACACATCCTCATCCACTCAGCAGGGAACTACCCACACAACCACGAAGACACAACGTGCCCTCCGGGCACGCACCCCGAAGACAAAGTCAAAGAAACAAAACCCACTGGTGAGCCCTGGCTCCGATTAGTTCCCCGTGTCACCTTCACGCACGCCTACAGTGTTTGTGCACTTCCCCTCCCCCCCCCCCCCCCTTTCTTTATGCGCTTAAGACTAGCCACTTTAAATGTTCAGGGCTTTAAATCAATCGCCAAACAAACAGAAATTGTTAACCTAGCCCTAGCTGCCCGATTGGACATTCTTCTGCTCCAGGAAACAAATTTCAAGTGCAGTTCCGATGTTTTTGATTTCACGCAACGCTTTCGAGTAGAATGTTTTTTTAGCCTTGCCACCAGCAACTCCTGCGGGGTCGGAATCCTTGTCTTTCGCCGTGACCTGATGCGTAGCTCTTTCTTCACGCCAGACGCTGAGGGACGCGTCATCTGCGTGGATGTGGTCCTTGGGGGCACGAGGGTCCGGATCATCAACATTTACGCACCGGCAGACAATAAGCGACTCAATACGTTTTTTTCGAACCTCGAGCCGTTTCTTCTAAACTGCACCCACGCCATAATCGGAGGAGATTTTAACTGTGTTCTTGACGGCCTTCGTGACTCACGTTCCCCCGCGGCCACACCACGCACTTCCTGGTGCACCAGGGAGCTGGAGCTGATGGTTGCGGAGTACGGTCTTGTCGATGCGTGGACGGCAAGGCATGGTAATGCCTATCAGCCGACATGGCAGCGCGGCCCGTCCAGCTCCAGGCTCGACCGCTTCTATCTTCCACCCTCCCTGATGTGTCTTTTAAAGGAATGCGAGGTTCTGGACCCCTCCCTTACCGGCCTCCGTGTGTCCGACCATCACGCCACGGTAATCACTATCAATGTGCGAGGAGGAAACATGACCCGCCGCAACTGGAGGCTGTCCACAGCCCTCTTAGCAGATCCAGTGGTAGTAAAGTCCATTGCAGATTACCTAAGTCATATTTTACCAACGACCGCCCCGACAGTCGAGGCCTGGGAACAGGTCAAAGACCAACTCCGCCAACGCTTCACAGAATGGGGCAAGATAAAGGCACGCAAACACACACAAATGATAAACTCCGTCGCCCAGAAGATCCGTATTCTAACACGAGCCCCTAGTCACACCCCACTGCTCCCCAGCCCGGGGCCTTCCCCCGGCCGGCATCGCCCTCGACCACGGCCTCCTCCGCTTCGGACTACCTTACCGACTCTGAGGTGGCCAGCCAACTTGCCGAGGACGACAGCCTGGCGGACGCGGCTTTGCGAATTCTCCAGTGGCTACAACGCCACCAGCCGCATCCCCCACTGGACCAGGACCACGACAACGACGACGACGACGACAGTCGGCGACCCGCGGCCTTCCCGCTTCTACCGCCACATCCTCCCGTCCGACCCAGTGAACCCATCCCCAAGGTCAGATGGGACTTTGTCGCCGAAACCTTCGGGTTTAACCCTCCCTTTGACCCCTCCCAACTGAACTTTTTTGCAAGAAAGTCTTCCGTTTTTAATGGTCGCCACCCCCACCCGGACCAACTTCCCGTGCTCCGGCTGGCGGTGGCCTCCATGCTTGCCTCAGGCATAGTTGAGGAAACAGCCCGCGGTCCCTTTTTGTCGCCTATTCAGCTGGTACCGAAGACAGCCACAGCATCCCGTTTCGTTCTCGATTTTTCGCACTTAACTTCTTCCTTGCCGAGTCCCAAGTTCCGGTTACCACCACTTCCGCAGGCCCTCAAGGCCTGCCCTTTACCGGCAAGGCCCTTCTTTGTTAAGTTCGACTTACGCGATGCATTTTACCATTTTGGTCTAGCCCCCTCCACCCGTGCTTTGACCACCTTTAGGCTTGACGGACGTTATTACCGGTACACAGTTCTGCCCTTTGGCATTAGGCCAGCCCCATTTTTCATGCAAGCTTTTGCAACCGCTCTCGCGCGCGAGGCTAGAGCCCGCGGGTTGTGGGCTTGGTCACACCTCGACAATTTTTTATTTGCCCATCCTGACCCAGTTTTTTTGAAGACACAGCTAGACATTTTTCTTGCACAGCTCTTAGAAGCTGGTGTTCGTTTGAACCCCAGCGACTCCATGTTCCTTCCTGCGCGGCAGGTTAAGTTTTTAGGCTTTTTTCTTGACGGAACATCGGGTACTATCGGTCACACACCCTCCCGCCGACAGGACCTTCTCCTTGTTCTGCGGGCATTACACCGCCCCCAGACTCAGAAAGTATACCAGCGAGCTGCTGGTTTCTGGGGATTTTATTTTTCCTTGTATGCTTCCCATTTTCATGCCTTGCGGCCCCTTCATGTTGCCGCCGCTACTGGTGCCCACCCTCCCCTCCCTTGGCTCCAACTTTTCGAAAGTGTTGTTCAGTCCCTGCCGGTAGCTGTGCCCTTTGACACTGTGCCCATTGAGCGTGACGTATATGCCGACGCCAGCTCTACGGGCATCGGGATCTGCCTACCCCAAGGCAACGTGGCCATCCTGGCCAACCAACCAACGCCCATCTACCTTCGGGAACTTTGGGCCGTGCTGCTGGCCTTGCTTCTCGCACCACCAAGAACCCGAGTCCTCACCGACAACCAAGCAGTGTACCAGGCCCTCACCCGCGGCCATGGACATACCCTCTCGCCGCCGGAAGCACTCGCAGCGACTGTAATAATGCTGAATAAAAAGGGTTGGGTTGGGTGGGTGCCTACCGACCAGAACCCGGCCGACGGCCCCTCTCGCCTCCACCGCACATTAACCGTGGGGACGAGTGGGGTCGCCGCCAGGGGGCCGGAGCCTATATAAGGAGGCACCGTGCTCCTGTCGGGTCAGTCGCTGGGTTCCCGCCTCACCAGGACCCAGCGAAGCAGGTTTCAAAAATGCAGGTTTTTTGAAACCTGCTTCGCTGGGTCCTGGTGAGGCGGGAACCCAGCGACTGACCCGACAGGAGCACGGTGCCTCCTTATATAGGCTCCGGCCCCCTGGCGGCGACCCCACTCGTCCCCACGGTTAATGTGCGGTGGAGGCGAGAGGGGCCGTCGGCCGGGTTCTGGTCGGTAGGCACCCACCCAACCCAACCCTTTTTATTCAGCATTATTACAGTCGCTGCGAGTGCTTCCGGCGGCGAGAGGGTATGTCCATGGCCGCGGGTGAGGGCCTGGTACACTGCTTGGTTGTCGGTGAGGACTCGGGTTCTTGGTGGTGCGAGAAGCAAGGCCAGCAGCACGGCCCAAAGTTCCCGAAGGTAGATGGGCGTTGGTTGGTTGGCCAGGATGGCCACGTTGCCTTGGGGTAGGCAGATCCCGATGCCCGTAGAGCTGGCGTCGGCATATACGTCACGCTCAATGGGCACAGTGTCAAAGGGCACAGCTGCCGGCAGGGACTGAACAACACTTTCGAAAAGTTGGAGCCAAGGGAGGGGAGGGTGGGCACCAGTAGCGGCGGCAACATGAAGGGGCCGCAAGGCATGAAAATGGGAAGCATACAAGGAAAAATAAAATCCCCAGAAACCAGCAGCTCGCTGGTATACTTTCTGAGTCTGGGGGCGGTGTAATGCCCGCAGAACAAGGAGAAGGTCCTGTCGGCGGGAGGGTGTGTGACCGATAGTACCCGATGTTCCGTCAAGAAAAAAGCCTAAAAACTTAACCTGCCGCGCAGGAAGGAACATGGAGTCGCTGGGGTTCAAACGAACACCAGCTTCTAAGAGCTGTGCAAGAAAAATGTCTAGCTGTGTCTTCAAAAAAACTGGGTCAGGATGGGCAAATAAAAAATTGTCGAGGTGTGACCAAGCCCACAACCCGCGGGCTCTAGCCTCGCGCGCGAGAGCGGTTGCAAAAGCTTGCATGAAAAATGGGGCTGGCCTAATGCCAAAGGGCAGAACTGTGTACCGGTAATAACGTCCGTCAAGCCTAAAGGTGGTCAAAGCACGGGTGGAGGGGGCTAGACCAAAATGGTAAAATGCGTCGCGTAAGTCGAACTTAACAAAGAAGGGCCTTGCCGGTAAAGGGCAGGCCTTGAGGGCCTGCGGAAGTGGTGGTAACCGGAACTTGGGACGAGTGGGGTCGCCGCCAGGGGGCCGGAGCCTATATAAGGAGGCACCGTGCTCCTGTCGGGTCAGTCGCTGGGTTCCCGCCTCACCAGGACCCAGCGAAGCAGGTTTCACTTGGCACCGGATAGACCTTTTACCAGAGTGGCAGCCCCGTCCGGTAACCTTGGCGTGTGCGTAGCACTCGCCCTTGTGCTCTTCACATGCCTCCCAAGCAACCTGCCCAACAACAGACCGGCGATGACCGTGGGACCGATGACGACGATCTCCCGGACCCACATACTTTCTCTCAGATGTTTGATGAACATTCTCAGCGCCTCGAACAAGTACTCGTGGAAGACCGTGCATCATCGCTACGAGACCTACGCTCTCTCTTACGAGAGAATAACGTCGAGATGGCGGCGGCTGTCGCTGACGCGCTCAGCAGAGCTTCTACAGTCTCCGCTGGAGCAGCCCAGACCATTCTTCATTCTTCAAGAATGAAGAATGTTCATCAAACATCTGAGAGAAAGTATGTGGGTCCGGGAGATCGTCGTCATCGGTCCCACGGTCATCGCCGGTCTGTTGTTGGGCAGGTTGCTTGGGAGGCATGTGAAGAGCACAAGGGCGAGTGCTACGCACACGCCAAGGTTACCGGACGGGGCTGCCACTCTGGTAAAAGGTCTATCCGGTGCCAAGTGAAACCTGCTTCGCTGGGTCCTGGTGAGGCGGGAACCCAGCGACTGACCCGACAGGAGCACGGTGCCTCCTTATATAGGCTCCGGCCCCCTGGCGGCGACCCCACTCGTCCCCACGGTTAATGTGCGGTGGAGGCGAGAGGGGCCGTCGGCCGGGTTCTGGTCGGTAGGCACCCACCCAACCCAACCCTTTTTATTCAGCATTATTACAGTCGCTGCGAGTGCTCCCTGATGTGTCTTTTAAAGGAATGCGAGGTTCTGGACCCCTCCCTTACCGGCCTCCGTGTGTCCGACCATCGCGCCACGGTAATCACTATCAATGTGCGAGGAGGAAACGTGACCCGCCGCAACTGGAGGCTGTCCACAGCCCTCTTAGCAGATCCAGTGGTAGTAAAGTCCATTGCAGATT